TTTTATGTAAGCTTATGTGTAACAAATTTTAAAATTGTTAGTTGTAGATTTTTTTTATAATAAATTTTACTTAATACATACCTAGTTCAACAGAATTTGAAATGTCCTCTGGCGAGTTTGATGAAATATTTATGGGCGTGACTTCCAATATAACTGTGCTGGATTCATTATTCTCTTCATTACAATTACAATCTAAAATTTACCAATAGAAGCGATTAATATACCTACTTTCAATACTCACCTATGTTTGTTATTGTTACACTTTTTTCTTTAAATTCTTCAGCTTGTTGCAAATTTGACGTTTTTTGATTTATTGAGGGCGTAGCTGTAACAATTTTTTAAAGTAATTTTTTAAAAAATGTTAATCTTACCATTTTGTTTTAAAAATCCGCTTCGTTGTCGTGTTTCGTTCTTAATTTTGACGTTGTCAATGTGCTTGTCAACTTTTTCTTTTCTTGCTTCTATTGTCGCTAATTTTACTGTACCTTTTATAGCTTCGTAATGTATGAGGAAAAATTTATCTATTTTTATTGGTAGGTTGTAGTTTTTAAATGTTCTGTGTTTTAAATCATTAAAATAGCTTTCAACTATTGCAGACGATGCGGTAGTTCTTGACGTTAGAAAATGTTTGTTCATTACGTTTGACCATAATGTAATAGTTTTTGCTAATCTTTCTAAATCTTTTGTAAAATCTGGACAATAATGAAAATTTTCGTTATTTGTTACAAATTGGCATTGCTGTAATGCACGGTCTTTAATAATTCTAAACCAATTGTTGAGATTATCATTTTCTATTGATTCCATTCCTGTCAAATTAATCTGTTGTTGTTCATTAGTATTTTCCACATATTCATTATCAATGATCACTGTGTCTAGTCCCGATATTTTTAGTTTCAAGTTTTGTTTGTGTAACTCGCAAGGAGTTTGAACACCATTGCAATCACCGGAATATTCACTATTTGATATTATGATCAAACTTTCGATCAAAGACGCCACACTTTCTAGAGTTGTAGTTTTTATTAGTAACACCATCGCTCGAACATAAAATTCATGTAACAATTTTGGTTTTCGAATACTTTGCCATTTACATATAATATTCATTATATGAGCGTAGTCAATTCTTATATAAGTTGTTACATTGCTTGTATCACCTTTTCCATTTAACAAATCAAAACATTTTGAAATATAAGATTGTAATGTCGTATTTGTGAACGCCCATGACACGGCATTTAACAGAGCTAAGGAATGATCGCAAACAATTGTCTGTGGTATAGATGCACCG